ATATATTAATGATGTTGGTACCTTTAAAAGTGTTAGAGGGTGGAAGAATAGGATTACAGGGAATAACCATTGCTAAGTTAAGAAAATAGAAAGAAAAGATCTTTTATTAAGCTTCCTGCCTTTGAAGGCATGATATTGAAGCTAAATTATAAACACATTTTTTAGTCTTCTATGACTTATTGTGATTAAGAGCACCTAAAAGCCACTCACTTATATCAATTTCTTTCACTATATATGAATACGTTTTTAGCTTTTCCAAAGAAAAACTCCCTATTCTTTCATGTCGTATTTCTAACATTTTCAGTTCATATCTATAATTTGAGCAAACCAAAAAATAATATTCAAAGCAAGACTCAAACTATATATGTATAAAAACCTATTCTTTCATGTTGTAATTATAACTTTTTTTATTCATATAAGCTTTTTAATTTGTTCGCAGCTTATATGAGCAAACCATAAACAAATTTAATAGAGCAAACTTTAGAATGAAAAAAAAGTAAGCTAAAAAAGTGGATATTAACAACGAATAGAATTGATATTGGATAGTTCTTTCTCTAGTCTTTTCTCCCAATGCAATCCATCCATCACGGGCAGCAATTTGGAACAATCTACGATGACTAAGGCATTGATATTTATATGTATTTTTTGAAAGAATCAAGCAGAGGTTGGCTAATAGAGTAAAATGAAATAAATATAAAAAAAGAAGAACTCTGTAATACCCAAGTCCTTTGTTCTCAGACCAGTGCTATTGCCAAAATCGAACCTAGCCAGCCAGCCACCAGAGTTGTTGTCTGCATACTGATTCACTGTCATCTCCGGGTTCATCAAGATCTGCATCTACGTCCTCGGTAGAGCGTAAGGTTTGAAGCCCTGGGCCGGTGACTGCCCTGTGATGCTCCGAGATCTCGCCCCCAATTCAACTTGAGAAGGGAATAGATTCGGTCTCTTTTGAAGAAGCACTCAATCATTGTCCATTATCTATAGGTCTGGTCCAACAATGAGCGAAATCTGATCCCTAAAGTAACAATGGCTTGTCACTGGTGCTTCGATGTCCTAGGCGTCTCTTGAGTGAGATCGCAGGCAGGAGTTGCGTCTAATTGGAAATCAATATAAAAAGAACCAAGGACCATGTGAGTTTCTTAGAATTCTAACAATTCTAATTGGACACCTCCACCATCATGCTTGCTCTTACTTTTCTCCATGTTCCTCTTTGCAGTGAAAAATGTTAAAAGTAATTAAAATCAATATTAGTATGTAAAAATGGGAAAGTAGAACTTTCCAAACACTGATTTAATCAATATTGTGATTAAATGCAATGGCATCTAATTTTCCTATGAGATCTCTTTTTCGCATGAGGAATGACTAAAAAGCAACTACGTTAAACATGTGCTTATGTCACGCTTTAGTTTTTTGCTATCAATCTGCGATCAAAGTCCAATTTATCTTTTTTCTGTGATCAACTGATCATCTCACTGAGTCTGAAGAGTCCTCGAGGATGAGACTAATCCTAAAAAGAGGAGTTATTATGAAGTACTCATACTCCTTATTATTTTAAAGGGATTTGCTAGGGGTACCTTAAGGTGGTGTACATACGACACCATTTCTCACAGACACACAGACACTCAATGTTCATGTTTTACCTTGGGTACACCACACTAGCTTTAGGTTTTTCTTAGAGGAAATTTTACTCCCTCCGTCCCAAATTTGATTACAAATTGCGGGTTACGGAGTAAAATTTCCTACTTTTTGAAATCATTTTGTTTACAAATTGGTATATCAATAAGATATAAAAATTACATATTAAAAAACTACGTCAAAAGTTCTACAAAACAAGAGGTGACAAGAATATTTTATTTTATCAAATACTTGATGAAATCGCGTAAACAAACAAAAGTTATCGAGAGGAGAGAGAAAAAAAGATTGTAATCTATTTAAGGACGGAGGGAGTAAGAGTTTTTATATTTAGTCCTCCATTATCAAATATTACCTCCGTAGTCTTTTTGTGGGTGCCTTTCCACAAATGATCTTTTTTTATTTCTAACTATGTTGGTGTTAATTTAAAAGCTAAAACTATAATTTGACATTAACCTTATGTCCAGTGACGTACTCTGGTATTGATTAGATGGATAACATAAAAATAATGACTAGGATTGTGAGCTAAGATTACGATGAAAGACCACATCTGCAGACGATGGTTGTATTACGAAACGATTGTAATTCACCAACGACGCATCAGGATTGGCCTTTGGAATTTTGTATGACAAGAAACATATATTCTCATTGTGAAATTATACTTTTAGCCATTAAATTAACATCAACATAGTAGAAGATAAAAAAATAGAACTATTTTTGGAAAGACACTCAAAAAAGAAAAACTATGAAGATAATATTTGATAATAGAAAACTAAATTAAAAAATCCTCCTATCATAAAGGACCGCTCTATTTTAAATTATGCATCAGGTTTTGAACAAAGAAATACTACCTCTGTCCCAGAGTATTTGTCCACTTTCATTTTTACACATCATCCATGCACTTCTTTAATTCATTTTATCTTGTAATTTGTATATTAAAAAATTATAGAAATTATATATTAATAATCTATATGTTAAGACAAATCAAATAAGATCACACATGATTAGATTTAGACTTACACATTGAGAAAATTTGATGAGTCAAAGTGCTTAGATGAAAAATTCCAAAAGTTAAAACTGGACAAATATAGCGGGACGGAGGAGGGAGTAATTGTTATGTTGAATGTTGATTCGATCTCCATGAGTATTAATTTTAGGCCATTGTATATTTGTATTAATACCATTCGTTTGACTAGTCAAAGCACCAAATAGCATTGGTTCTCCATGATTCAAAGTACACACTATTTGTTTCACCCGTACGGAACAGTGACTTTTTAATGAATAATAATTTTTCATGAATTTACAAGTAATAATAATAATAATAATAATAATAATAATAATAATAATAATAATAATTTTTCATGAATTTACTAGTACATTGTACGCAGCCCCGTGCATCTGAGAGGTATTCTCCAAACACATTTTGACAATTCGAAAAGTGTAATTTAGAGACTCACGAGTCTATGACTTTGCTTGGCATCTCTAGGAGACACGCATGTCAATTTCAAAGGTGTAGACGTGTAGTTTTACAACTTGTACGTTATCAAAATTCTCACGAATTTCTCGACAACACAGGATCAAAATAACTCAGATAGAAATACAAAATTCACAATTTTCATTCCATTTCAATCTAAGTTACAATGAGAATACAAGTCCTATTTATAAGCATGATTAACTTAAGCTATAAATAAAATACTAAGCTTTTAGGAAATTATAATTAAACATCAAACTTCCTCCTAAGTCAAACAAAAATCCTAATCAAATAAAATTAATTGATCTTCCTTGATCATGTCTCCCAACCTCCACATAAATTCAAGAATGATTAATCTTCAAAGCCAATCTTGCCTCCTTAATTACCATGTGATGACAATGGTAATTACCTTGGTAAAATCTTCAAATATAAATCCATCAAATCTTCTTTGGCTTCGTCCACCAAACCTTGATTTTAAATGTTAATCAATGGATTAAAATATCCCATGAAGGATGTTATAGAGATATATTAATAAAATTTAAATAAGTTAAAATTTCTGTAGCTCAACCACCATGTCACAGTCAATCGTCCCTACCAATGGTCCAGGGGTGGACCGTTCAACCATGTAGTTACGTAACTTCCTCCCGGGTCCCACAAACGGTCAACCGTTATTCAAGCAGTGGACCATCGTTCCGTCTAACATCAAACTGCCTTCTTGACGGTTGATTGTTATAAAGGAATGGTCCACGTGGCTCGACCGTCTATAGCTCCTTTTACTAGCGTATAAAGCACGGTCGACCGTGTGACCCCAACGGTCCATTGGCTCGGTTGTGACCCAGTAAGCTTGCTCCTTCTTTATTTTTCCTCCGTATTCCAACACTCCAGTTTTGACAAGGATTTCTTACGTTTTTTTGAAATACTTTTGAACAAAGAATTTCACTCTTTACTTTTTTCCAATTTATAAATAAAATAATTTTATCTCAAAAACTGAAATCTGGTTCTAGACACTAAGGAAGTTTTTAAACACCACCGTCCGGCGTCAGTCGGTTACAATCCAAAGGGAGAAATAACCACAAGAAAAATGAAAAGAAAAAAAAATCTCCAAAAGGAGAAGAATATTTACACTCATGTAATTTCATTACAATAATCATTGTTCATTGACACTAAGTTCTAGAATACGTATTAGGTTTATTTAATCTTGAAGACTACCTACTATAATTAAATATTTGTCCAGTTTGGATTTTTTATAGACAACTAATTTCAAACTTTGACCTTAATGAAATAAAATTTTTATGACATTAATAAGATAAAACAATACTCCCTCCGTCCTATATCTTTCTTCCTGTTGCGCAAAACGAAGAAAAATCTCCAAGTTTTTTCAATCTATTTTATTTAAATATTGGTATAGAAATAAAAAATAAAATATACATATTTAAAAACTACATCAAAAGTTCAACATAACAAGTGATGACAAGAATATTTTATTTTATCATATAGACTATGAAAAAAACACAAATAAATAGTGCTCTGGGAAGAAAGTTTTAAGGCGGATGTAGTACTTTGAAACAGTTTATAAAATAAATCTAATAAAATGATATTTTATCAATATCTAATTTTATAAAATAAAACTAATAAAAAGATATTTTATCAATATCTAATATTAATTTTATATAATAAGTGGTCAAAATTTGTCAACTTTAACGACAAAAAATCAAAGCTAAACAAATAGCCAGAGACCAAGATATTATAGTTATTTACGGTATACTTTGTTACTTGAAAGATTGTCAATTTGATACATTCATCCATGCATGCACGGGTTGAAATGATGGTACAAAAATAAGACAAATTATTTATTTCAAACTCCATGATATAAGATAAATTATTTGTTTCAAACTCCATGGTATAAGATAAATTATTTGTTTCAAACTCCATGGTAAGCATATGAAACAATCAGGCTGGAAATAAAGATGGACAGCTTAATGTTACAGAAAGGGTTTCAAATAGTGACATCCTGACACCTAAGAACAACACACAGACAACTTAAAAGATCAAATCACGCATGCTTCAATGCCCTTGTCAAAGTCCCCCAAGAGAGGAGTTTGGATAACTTCTGATCACATACTTGAGGCACGTACTTCCTTGCGTACCTCATGTTACTATATACTACCTCCGTCCCGTGAAACATGGGACATTTGCTTTTTAGGAGGAATTTAATGGAGTGTATTTTGGTATTGAATTTCCAAAAATGTCCTTTGATGTGATGGGTAAAAGTATGATTTGATGGATAGATTATTAGTAAAAAGGTATGATGTGATAGTTAGGGTATGAAAAAGTAAAGGGTAAAAGTGACTTTTTAATAGAAATGAGAAGTGTTTTGTGGGACGGATAAAAAAAGAAAGGGGAAATGTTTCACGGGACGGAGGTAGTATAATGATAGGATATGTTTTTCTAAAGTGTTCCCGCCCATTTTAAATGCTACAGTACAGGTGAGATTTAGACCACATAACATCTGATAAGATAGAATCATAGAAGCTTCCTGCGTACACATCGACGCCGCCGGAGATTGTTAAATTGCCGGTATACTCTGTTCATGCCGGAAAAAGTTGTTGGGGTCGATCATCTTCTTCGCCTGCGCCAATCTCCGGAAGTTGCCCTTGAAATAAAGGGTTCCCCGGCCAAGAACTCGCTTGCACGAACTAACTTAACATTCCCATGATTCTTGTTCGTGCCCATGTAGTTCACATACGCCTCCCTCCCTCGGAGAACTCGACACGTACGGCTCCATGTAATCGTACAACTTTCCGATCCATACGCCGTGCTTCGCCGCCACCGTGACGTCGTCCTCGCTCCAGAGGGTCAGGTACTGGATCATGAAAATGTTGCCGCGTCTGTGCGGGAACGGCGTGGCGGATTCCGGGATCGTCTCCATCTTGCCGCCGTACGGGTTGAGTATCATCATCGGGTTGTCTTCCTTCAGGAGAAGGTCCCATAGCCCGGTCAGACCTGTTTCCGGGATGGGGGTTTTCACGAAGTCGGATTTGGCTTTGAAGTGGTTCTTGATTCTTGAAAGGGGGTTTTCCGGCCTGGAGAGTGTTCGTCGGAGTGTGCAGCCGAAAGCCGGCGATGAACAGGACAGATGGGATCCAGCTCATTTCGATGCAATCCGTTTTTTCAGTCTTAGCTCCGGGAAACTCTGTTTCATGAGAAAATTACTTATATAAGTAAGGCATAGCAGTAAAAACCATCAATAATAATATTAAAACTGTAAATAAACTTTGTATAATACTCGGTGACAAGGTACCGGTGCGGTACCGTTACCGGCAACGGTACCGCCGGTACCATATACTGTCACCGTCGAACGGTTCGTAACACCGGTGCCGAGAACCGGTACCGGAACCGCCCCAACCGGTACAGGTTCCAAAATTTTCGTCCCGGAACCGTGTATTGTTTTTTTTTCTTCCCTGCAACTCTGCAATCCTGCAACATGTCCGGCGGTACAGCGGTCCAACCCCTCGGCTCCAATAGTCCAGCAAGTTACTCTCTTTCTCAAAATAAGTCTCTTCCAAATTTTTCAACAATTGCATTTAATTTTTTCATAGATCTCAATTGTTTTTATGGACACTAGATTTTTCAAAAAATAATCAAAAAAATAAATCAATTTTACACTTTAAAAATTTAATAAAAAAGCAAAAAAATAGTAATTTGGGGGTGGCCGGTCCGGTACCGGAACCGGTACCGGCCGGTCCGATCACGGTACCGGTACCAAGGGGTGGCGGTAGCGGAACCGGCGGTTCCGGAACCGGAACCGTCCCAGAACCGTACCGTGTCCACCCCTACTCGGTATTTAAAATTTAAAATTACTATAAAATAGTACTCCCTCCGTCCGACAAAAAAGTTCTCATTTTGATATATTTTTGGTCAAACATTTACATACTTTGACTATAAATTAAATATAACTTAAATAAAGAAATGCTAAAAAACTTTGAGATATCAAAATTAGATCCTGAAAAATTTGAGATATCAAAATTACACAACCTTGATTGTTTAGTATTGGGATTACCTTAAATATTTACACGTTTTTACTAATGACCAACTTACCCCTGCTAAAAGTAGAGAGGCTGTTTCAAAGAAGAGACTTTTCTCACAAAAAAAAGTGCAGGCAAAATATTGCATGATTAGAACACCATGAGATTCATGACCATGAGATTCAAGATCAAATGCAACTGATGGATCAACTTCTCTTGAAAGTTTTATTGCATCTGATGTGGCAATATCCTCCTGATTGGCTGGAGATATTGCAAGTATAATGCAGTTTGGCTACAATGCCATGGATGGGGGACATGAGTGGATAATGCTAAGTCATAACTCATGATAGCAATGACATAGAGTCATGAAGATATAGGTAGAGTTCAAAAGACGGAGATTCAAACATACAAATCAAATGCCAAAATAGCGAACAGATTCATCGTGTAGTTCTAGGGCCACTAAGAAGGCAGAATGGCAGATATAAGACGGCATTACCTTCTGGAAATAGGTCCGGGCCATGTCTTCAGTTTCTTCGACTATACTTTCTGGCTGTCCTTCTGCAATACACAACCTTGATTGTTTAGTATTGGGATTACCTTAAAATAACACCAAATGATCACCTCAGTGAAGACATAGATAAACGAAAACACTCACCAACAGCCAACTTTGTCAAACCAGGCAAATCAATTACTGTTAAGTTCACCACTGTCAATGTAGCAAGGCCATGAGGAACGGGTCAGCAAATGAGATAGACGTAAACAGAACCTTAATAAATTAAGCCTCCCTCGCGCTTGGTCATGCAAAGATGCAAAAGAGAACCGCACAATATCAATATTCCCACAGTAGGAAACTTTATGAAAAAACTGTCAAACAAGCAATTTACTGCCGTAGTGTAGATAATGATATATACCGAGTAATTCATATACAGAACTCAGTGAACTAACTGTCCTCTTGGCAAATGAGCGAACTCTGCATACTCCTCCAGCCCATCTTTGGTTTTGTGCAACTGCAACACCAACGGCCGCCTCGTAACAATCCCTATCAAAATCCAAAACCAGAACAAAAACTTCAAACTATTGAGATATGTTTTCACAATTCAATTGCGGGGAAAGGAAAGATGAAAATAAAATAAAACTCTAAATTTCACGCGCAAACGAGGATGAACAGAAAATAAGGCTGACCTGGCCGACGACCACAGCGACGGCGGAAGTTCCTCGCACAGGGATGAGAAGTGTTTTTATTGTTAGAAAAAGTAATGTACTCTTATTTATATCACGGAGTACAAATTTCAGAGAAAAAAAATTGCTTCAAACCCTTCGGTATGCTCCAAATTTGACTTTACACAAGGAGTTTTAAAAAAGGTGAAATTGTGTGATTGAAATTTATGCAACAAGTTCAATGTAATTCTAACACCATGGGTCAGGGAATTAAGATGTAGGCAGCAGCCATATCCCTGCAAACACAGAGAGGTTGTTTGTGTAGCATTGATTTAGACAATGGGAGAGAAATCATATGGAGCGCACACAATTATGCAATGGGAAAGAAATCATACGGAGCACACACAGTTGCTTCCGAAAAGATACAACAATAAAACAACAATAAACATTTCCATTTATCTCAAAAAGAAACTGGGAACATTAAAAAAGCTCCTTAGGAAGTATATTGTTGAAAATGCAAATCAGAGCAAAAAAAGTCAACTCACAATTTAAAAAATAAAAATTAAACAAAACAACTCTCCTGGGTCTTCAAATCAGTCAGCTTTTTTGTCTTTTTGCCGGGCATTGTAAATTTTTCCATTCTTCAAGTGAATTTATGTAATGCCGGTATACACAGCATCAACTATTCCAACTTTCCAAGTCATATTCTGTGTTCACTTGTTCAGACATCTTTAGAGTTAACTAATCAAACTAAAGAGGGCTGTCTACAGAGAGCTGCTAGTCCCTGCAATACCGATGACAATTCTTTAGAAATTGCTCAGGAAAAGGTCAATGAATGTGCTACATGTTCCAGCAAGACTGATAGTTCCTTGCCATTCACTTTCAACATAGATTCCAATGGAACATTCTTAGACGACAGGTTTATCTACTCAAGGTCAGCATATAGAAACATACGAATCTGAATCTTTCATGTCCCCTTTTGAGACTTCTTTGAAACACAGATGGAAAATCTGACACTAACTATACGGGGTCACAGATGATACGTAAGAAGGCTACAGACATGTTGAAAGTTTTGGGGGAGGATGCTGCCTCTGTTTTTCATCCAAACCTGGGAACTTCCGAGAAGGAAAATCAGGCTGTTCTCGAATTCAAGAGTTATGCTGAAGATGTTGATGAAAAGTTATTCAAGAGTTATGCGATTGAAATCAATTCACAATAAGCTTACTCCTAAGAACTTTGAAATGTTACTCCAGCAAGTTCAAAGATGTCAAGATTGACAATGTGACTACACTTAGTAGGAATCATTTCACAATATTTTTTTAAATATATGCCAACTTATGTTCTCGCCTCGCTGCTGAGCTTCCTGATTTGAGCATAGACAATGAAAAGGCCACTTTCAAGAGATCACTTTTGAACAAGTGTGAGGAAGAATTTGAGAGGGGTAAGCGAGAGAAAGAAGAAGCCAATGTAATCAACGGGGAAGGTTCAATGAAACTATCAGATGAGGAAAGAGAGGAGAAAAGATTAAAAGCACGAAGAAGAATCTTGGGCAACACCAGACTGATTGGGGAGTTGTACAAGAAGAAAATGTTGACAGGCAGGATAATGCATGAGTGCATACAAATTTTTCTTGGTGACAGTGAGGATCAGAACCGGGATGAGGAAAACTATCAAAGTTTTGTGTGAACTAATGAGCACAATCGGTGAGGTGATAGGTCACGAAAAAGCCAAGATTCACATGGATTCTTATTTTTCCTGGATGACAAGCTTGTCAAATAACATGAAACTATTTTCGCATGCGAGGTTTATGTTGAAAGATGCAATTGAGCTTAGGAAGAATGAGTGGCGGCGGTGGAAAAAAGTGGATGGACCATAAAACATTGATGAAGTGACTAAACCAAACTAGCATGACTTTTTTTGGTAAAAGAAGACAACAAATAGAGGCTCTAGTGTTGCCTTCTCCAGGCTCCCATATGGGGGTGGGTTCAGACCATTATCACCCCTAAGGAGGGATTATGGGAGTCAAGATGCTCGTGAAGGAGGCCTTGCAAAGGGGTTGACTGGAAATCAAATCAGGTGCAAAATTATACATATAGTGGTATTGATCAAATTCACAAAAATATGCAGTGGGAAATCTCGTGCAAAATATACATATAATGTTAAAAAAACATGCATAGTTATTGATCAAAGTGACAAAAACATGCATAGTTAGAAATCAACTGCAAAATATACATGCAGTCTTAATGACAAAAATATGCATAGTGGAAACTGGAATTTGGCAGTTTGACATGATATTGAATAACAGAGACTGCATTAATTACTTCTCGAAATTGTGTAAGTTGTATACTTGATCTTCACACATAATAGCTCACCACCTCCTCATGCCTCCTCCGGTATCCTCTTTTTTCTCACAAATTTCACGCCGGGGAGGCCACACACTGACAATAAAACACGAATATAATTAATTAGTAATGCAAACATATTGAGATAACACTATACAAAATACTCACACTTAGGCAAGGGGATCTCATCTCCCCACTTATTTTTACCTTGGTAATGGCGTATCTTACTAGAGCTTTGAAATATTATACGGACAGGAATAGATTTTCTTATCACACAATGTGCAAATCTCTACAGATTATTAGTCTTGTATTTGTTGATGATTTCATAGTGGCTTGCAAAGCCGAAAGAGATTCCTTATTGACTGTCCATAATTGCCTTCAACACTTCAAATCAGCTAATGGACTTGATGTGAATTACTCTAAGTCTCAATTGGTGATAGGTGGATTGCAGAATCAACAAGCTATGGAAAATCTGGCTATTACATGCCCAAGTAACACTTTTGTTCAAAAAAAAAATACACTCACCCTTGTGCATTTTAGCACGCTCTTCCTCAACAAAGAACAATGTGCCCTCTATGTCATCTTGTACTAGCCTATCGATCTGATCCTCAACAAAGAACAATGTGCCCTCTATGTCATCTTGTGCTAGCCTATCGATCTGATCCTCATCAAAGAACAATGTGCCCTCTATGTCATCTTGTGCTAGCCTATCAATCTGATCGTATGTGCTAGTTTGGCCTTTGGGTTGAGGGTACTTGGTGAGTTTTGGAGCACCAGCGGTGACATAATTGGTGGAGAGGAAATCAGCAAGTGCGTTAGACTCCCTACGTACGTATAAAAGTAGGACCTGCTTCCCCGTCTTCTCTATGGCTTCAACCATTGATCGTGCATCGTGTAGTAGCTTGTTAACTGAAGGAGCACTAGCCTTCTTCTTATTCTTCATTGATGTTCTGGATGAGAGCATGGTAATCATGTGCATATTGTCACACATGATTGCCAAACCATGTTTGCTATATTAAATTGCTCTATATACATTTTTCCATCCTCTTAATACATTTTCCCATCCTCTTAATACATATTGCATTTCTATATAACCATTGCAGGACCCTAAAGTTCTCAAGAGTTACCTTCAGATGTACAAGGGAACGATAGAAGCGCATAATAAATCCGTGACTACCCCCAATATGGCACTCAACCTTGGGGATGTATTTTCCCTCATATGGCGCTACCCTGGAAAAGATTGGGACCTTAGAATCTTCCAACTCTTGGCACAGAAAAAGATTCAAATCTCCATGGACGAGCCCCCAGCTCTAGACTTCATCCCCGAAGTCTGTTATTAGGCCAGCATTGCTCAGTATTTGAATGCAAATACTGATGCATCGTGCATCGTGTAGTAGCTTGTTAACTGAAAGAGCACTAGCCTTCTTCTTATTCTTCATTGATGTTCTGGATGAGAGCATGGTAATCATGTGCATATTGTCACACATGATTGCCAAACCCTTCGATTGCCAAACGCGGTTTCTTGATTACTTAGGTGAAGGTAGGGTGAGGTGAGATTTAGAAGCTACCTTGTTTGGGGAATCAAATCGGGGAAGGGAGACGAAGGTAGGGGAGGTAGCCTAGCCGCGTAACAGTGAAAAAACCCTACCGCCGATTCTCCGGTAACTCGAGGTAAGTTTTGCGTTTCCTTCCCTGTCCTCTTTCTTCTTCTTCTTCTTCGTCTTCTTCCTCGGATCTCACTTCTTCCGTTTTTTGTGACTGTTTCTCTGATTTCTTGGATTTGCGACTCTTTCTTCTTCTCGGATTTCTTGCGACTGTTTTTTGGGACTGTTTCTTCTTCTAGTTCTTTTGCTTTCAATCTTTTTCTTTTTTGCTTACAATCTTTTTCCTTTTCTTTTTATGTGTTTTTTTGTTTATGATTTTCTATTTTTTACGCTTGTTGTTTTTTTCAGTTTTATTTTTCATTTTTTTCTGTTTTATTTTTTCTGTTTTTCAAATTTATTTTTGCTTGGGTCTCTCGGGATAATTGAAAACAATTTTAAAGACAATTTTGCCATGTGTTCTTTAGTTGCTTCCATTAACACTAGAGTGAAATTACATGGATTTTCCATATTTTTACCTCTTGAATTGATATAATTTTTTCCTGTTTGTTTGATATTGCTTACTTCAATTTTCAGTTTTCATTATTTTTCAGTTTCAAGTTTTCTTTTTTTTCAGTTTTCATTTTTTTCGTTTAAATTTCAATTTTCAGTTTTTGTTCTGCTCTTCCATGCCGCGGTTCAACAAATAAAGAAAAACAACCACAAGGATATTTTAGTAATTTTATTCTTTCCTTACCTCATGTTACCTAATAAACATCCAAACACAATTTTTTAATTCATTACCTTACTTTACCTACCTTCATTTACCTACCATCAATTACCTACCATTACCTACCTAATAAAACTTTTATCTACCTCCAACCAAACATACCCTTAGGGAACGAAAAGAAGCTCTCTGCAATCTGCATTTATCTGGTAATAATAGTAATCCCTATAGATTTATTAATTTTAGAAGAAATACATTCTGGAAAATTTATGCTCTTGTTCCTAGATATTTGCATTATCTGGTAATAATAGTACTCCCTATAGATTTATTAATTTTAGAAGAAATACATTCTGAAAAATTTATGCTCTTGTTCCTAGATATTTTATGGAAATTTGTATGTTTACATCTTATATTTTTGGTTTATTTATTTCAGTTTTAGAGATTAAAAGTATAACAAATTTGTAATAAGTTTTTCCAAGGTTAGAAAAAATATATTTTTGGTTTATTTATTTATTTCATTTAATGTTTGTCTCTAAATATGTATTTGCTAATTAACAAAACATATACTCCGAATGTATTTGAAATATCTGTTATATCAGCCCGTTTCTAGTGACACCGGAGAACGTTGCCACTCCGGTGTCACTGCCTTTTTGGAGTACCTCTGGTGCTCTATTCGTAAAATTGATGGTTCCTACCTTCCGTCCTAACCCATCCCCATCCCCACCCGAACACACCCCCCACTTTTTTTCAATTGCACCCCACAAGTAAATTTTAACTTTAGAGTCAAATTTTTACTCCAAAGTCAAAATTGACTTGTGGGTGCAATTGAAGGAGGTGAAGGTGTGTTCGGGTTGGGGTGGGGTGGTGGGTTACCGGGAGGTTAAGGGGGTTAGGAACCGTCAATTTTACGAACGGATACCGGAGTGTCTACGGGTCATCCCATGACATTGGTTCCCAATGTCATGGGAACCAAGAGGTATTTAAAATTATTTGGACGACAAAGTTTATTTTATTGCGAAGAATTAATTAGGGTTCTGGAGCTATCACGATCCTAAGGTTGTTGTTTTTTGGCTTCGTGTTCAGTTCCCCTTAAGAGAATGATAATCAAAGAAAAGTACTAAACTTTAAATTATTATCCGTTGGAATAGAATTTTCCTCCAATTTGACCAAAAAAACAAAGTCAAAACATTAAATGTTTTTAGGCCGGATGGGGTACAAATACCAAAACTTTGCTACGGAGTATCCTCTATTTTGTAATAAAAACTCTTTGGTCCCATTTTTTTTCTAGAATATATCATGGGGGCACTTAGAATATATGTTAATTAGAGGCATCCTATTGAGCTAAGAAGATCATCTTATTGGGTTGCTAAATACGATCGATGGAAAAGAAGAAGACATGAAGTGATTAGACATAACTTATAGCAATTGATTTTGTGCAATCCTAGTTAACTTATAAACTAATTGCGCTTGTTGTGTTCATTCACAAGTGTAGCTAATAAGCAAGGTCATTGATATCCACTTTATTCATGCCTAAACAAAAGAGAACCAAATATGGGTGTAAACTGTAAACAACACCAATATGTTATTCACGACAGATTGGGGAAACAACACCAAACAAGAACATGTCATATGGAAAAATGACATGGGAAAACACAAAAGGTAAGAGGTACTTCATATCTTTATTGGGATTAAGGGTAAACTTGACAAATCACTTTGTATAACGTTGGTTTGGATGGAAAGCCCCTCTTGGTAACTTAACAGATATTTTAAGCACCTCATAGTATATATTTTGGAAATAGATAGGACCTAGGAGTCTTTATCACAAAATAAGAAATACCTGTTAGCAATTTTTTTTGATAAAATACTACTGTATATCTTTTAACTCAAAATTAAATCAACCATGTTAGGGGTACACCAAAAATTATACTCCAAATGTACACTAAAGGCATGACCAGTATTTTGTTGATTTGCAATGACTAAAAATGTTAGTGCAATAAAAAATTGCACTTATTACTGCGTAAATCTCTGTTATCTTACTCAGATACGGGTATAATACGTCTATTCGTACATTCGTGTATAATACGGATCATATTTTTAAAATGCATCTTGTAATATGTTTTATACGTTTGATTTTTAAAAAAATACGGCTAATAATGAGTGTAGATATTTTTAATTATAAAAATTGTTTGAACTATGAAATTGAATACAAATACATCATAAGTATTCTTTAAATTTAACCAACACTACGATTTATTGTTAATTCATTTTTCCATGTATATCCAAAGAAGATCTTTTAATCTAACTTTCATCGTGTACTTTCACAAAATGTAATCAAAGTAAGAAAAAATTTTAAAAATGAAGATAACATTTAGACACAAATATCACATTTGAGATATGAAAATAATTATAATATTGAATAATTTAAGTTTTATGAAATTGATTAAATGATCATCAGGATTTAAGAGAAGACCTAAGTCTCCTTGAAATATAAAAATGAACTCACTAAATAACCTTTAACGCAATTTAAATTAAATAAAATGAAATTAACTTTATATTTTTCGTTTGGGGTCAAAAGTATGTGTATTATATGGTCGTCACATTAAAACATTCGTATTCGAGAGTATAATACATGTATCATACATACGAGTATATATATAATACGTATATTATACACGCATAAGCTAAGAGAGGTATAAATCATTACACGACATAAACTATAGGTGCATACTTCTGGTATACATTTTGAGATATTCTTTTTAGGGTACAAATAACTTAATTCAAATTAAATTAGTAAAATTATTATAGCACTCACAAGTCACAACTGATCAGTGGTATATGATCGCCAAAAAAGAAGAAGAAAGCCGAGATTAAAAGTGTAGAACAAGAGATCCATAAAGTGAAATTTGCACTAAATAGGACTAAAACATAATGATTTTCCTAATCTAGGACTTAAACTTTTTTATTTTCTAAATAGGACTTAATAATGTCTTCGTGGAAGGAATAATGTCCAGCAATGATAGACATTTACTTGAATAATGACTAATTAATAATGACCAAAGGTCCTACATTGGAAAATAAAAACATATGGTCCTATTTCAAGAAAGTCATTATGTTTTAGTCCTATTTAGGTAAATTACACATCCATAAAAATAAAAGGAGTATAATAAAATCAAGATAACAAAACAATTTTAAGAAGGTCAATCAGGCCGCACATGAAAACGTCCAGAAACCATTAATTAACTATTACTTCAAAGAAAAAAAATTACACGAATACTCCAAAAAAAAATGTGATTTAATTTTGAATTAATATTCCAAAATACGTGGACCAGAGCTAGTATGCAAAATACGTGGCATTTAAATGGAGACTATAAATTATTAAATATGTGTTGGTAACTACAGAGTGATAAAAAATAAAAATGATTAATACTTTGGATAAAATAAAAAATTTCTACATAGATATTTCATAATCAAATTAATATTTATATTTGTTCGAAAGATTTTTAAATAATACAACACTTAATCAACTTCAAATTTTTCTAATTTTTATTATCAGAAAGGCTATTCATAATTTATCTGATTAAGATATAAATACTTTATTTTTCACTTTTTTCACATTTTTCTTTGTAATCGATATGGAGGGGGTAGTTATAACGTATTCAAGATATTTTACTAATTTTTTGTAATTAATTACCAACTCATATTTAATAATTATTCAGTCGCCTTTTTAAAATATTATTATATATTCATGTTAGTTGGTTGTCTAGAATATTGGTGTAAAATTGAATAACTTCAGAGAACAGTGATGCAATTTATTGAATTAGTAACATCAAATCACGAATTTTTTAGAATATTCATGTGAATTTTTCATAATCTAAAAGGGGAATTTACGTAAATAACACTAAAACATAATGACTTTACCTAAATAGCATCACGTTTGTTTGTTTTTTTTCAATGTAGCACTTTTAGTTATTATTCAAGTGAATGTTCGTCATCACTGGACATTATGAACATTATTAAATACTATTTAGAATATCAAACAATTTAAGTGCTATATAGGAAAATGACTTAGATTTTAGTGTTATTTGGTGTAAATATTTCATTTCAAAATTGAAAATCTTTCACGACCTCATTGATAACGGAAATTTTTCTCAGAACAGGAGCAATCCTATGTTACTCAAGTTAGGTGAAAAAAGACCTCATTAGTCAAAAGACCAGAATACCCTCTAACATAGACTTTAATGAAAAAATACACGATTTTGTAATGAGAATCGCAAACTCTGCTTTTTTGTTGTGAATTGTAAAAGGCCATCTTGTCATGGTGAAAGAATTCAAACAGAGTGGGGCTGTGCTCTATATGGTTTGTCAAAAAATAATGCAAATACATGATGGGGACGAACATAAAGACATGGAACTAACAAAACTAAATTCCTTCCATTTTAGCGAAAAAAATGAGAGAAAATTGTTTTTTTTTCTTTTACGTTTCAAATTTCTTGAACCAAAT